AGGAAAGTAGGTGTGCGGGAGTCCGCGCAAGAGAGACGACAGGGGCTGGGGGATCCGAAAGGAGGTGACGCCATGCAGGGCGGGGCTGGGGGGCACTTGCCAACTCTGCAGCCACGTGGGGTTATTTAAATTTCAACTTAAATTAATTAAAATTAAATAAAAGTATAAATGCAGCTCCTCGGTCACACGGGCCACACTTCAAGTGGTTGACAGCCACGTGTGGCTCGTGGCTGCCACGTTGGGTGGGCAGGTGTGGAAACTTTCCATCACTGCAGAAGCTCTGTGGGACAGCACGAGGCTGGATCATGTACGGCTTAGGCAACCCCTAGTAAGAATGTTTACCCCAAGAGCACTGAGAAGTCCTAACCTATTTTCATTAGCGTGGGGGAGTCTGAAACACCACTCGAGAAACACCACTTTGGGAAGATCAGAAGGTGAATTCCACAATGCCACACACCAGAGATGTAGGCAGGGAGCCCACAGACAGAGTCCCAGGGATGAGTCCTGCATGCATGGCAGGAATGAGGCTGGTTTTAAGGCTGCAGAGGGACCTGGGAGGAGGCACGGGTTTATCAGTAGCTTCCTACAGCCACGGGGCCCCCAAACCAGGCAAGGAAAATTTATGCTGGGAAGCCCCATGGTCAGGATCCAGAGTCAAGTTCAGGTCTCTGGGAATGCAACCCTGGGCTCAGGACAAGGCAGGTGCGCCCAGCCATAAGGTCTGCCCTTCAGAATGAGAGCTGCCGGGGTGGGGCCGGGAGCAGGCCGTGGAAGGAGCTCCAGGCATCCTGTTCAGGGGCTACGCGGCAGGTGCATTAGAATACTAGGGCTGCCACAACTGACCACAAACCACCTGGCTTACAACAGAAGCTCACTCTCCCATAGTTCTGGAGGCTGGAAATCAAGTCGTCAGCAGGGTTGGTGCCTTGTGCAAGTTCTGAAGGAGAATCTGCCCCATGCTTTCTCCTGGCTTCTGCGATTGCCTGCAGTCCTTGGCGTTCCTCGGCTTATGTTTGTGTCACTCCAGGCTCTGCCTCTGTCACACATGGCCTCCTTCTCTGTGGATATCTATGTGTCCTCTCTTCCTCTTATAAGGACACCAGTCATTGGACTGGGGGCCCACCCTAATTCAGTATGACTTCCTCTTAACTTGACTTCATATGCCAGTGTCTCATTTCCAAATAAGGTCACATTCACAGGTACCAGGGGGTTAGGATTTGAAAATAGTTGAGGGGCACAATCCAACCCATTTCAAGTGGCCTGTGTGGTTTAGTGGTAAAACGCCAGGCTTTGGGGTCACAGTGAACTGAGTCCAAGTACTGGCTCAGCCACTTGCCAGTTTTTTGCTTGTTTGTTTGTTTGTTTGAGACAGGGTTTCCCAGACTTCTTCTCTTCCCTGGGATAGAGGAGACTGGGAGGGGCTTAGAGCAGCACAGGTCCCGACAGGTCCTTGGTATGTGGAGCTGCTTATGGGGGGAAGCACGTCCTGGGAGGGCCATCCTGCCTGCTCCAGAGGTTTAGAAAATGTGCGGAAGGGTCGTCCTCAGTGAGGCAGGAGGGGCCAACAAACCACCTATAAGACCAGTGACGGTGTTGGCCACGTTGAGGCTTGGCGTTTGAGGGCATGAGTACTGTACATACAACAGCAACGAGCCAGGAGCTTCTCCAAGCCTCAGTTTCCTTCTATTAAAAAAATGTGGGGTTGGAATAGATGTATTCTCTCGAATAGACTTAAAGGTCTCTCATCCAGCTCTGACAGCCTATGATTTTATGAATCATCCTCAAAGAAAACTTGCGCAAGTGAGAAGAACCTGCCAAGATTGGGCCTTTCATTCTGAGTAATGAACTGAAACGGCAAAGGCTGACATCTGTTCCGATCTTTCAAGGGAAGTTGGACAAAATAATGCCTTTTTCGGGGAAATTGTAACCGATGGTGAAATGTAGTATTTCCTGCCTAACCAAAGTGAAGTGGAGAACTCCAGCCTTCCTGCAGCCCACGGGGGAACACATACCCGAACTCCCAGGGAAGGTCACGTGGGCCAGCCGTCTTGCTGCTGGGGCGCAGAATGCCGCAGACGCCTCCACCTCCAGCCCTGGAAAGCCAGAGAGCAGGAAGAGTGACAGGGAGATTCGGAAGGCTCCGAGATGGTTTGGGGGAAGAAATAGGGCCTGTGGCCCTGTGGTTGGCTTCCTCACCAGCCCCTGGAATATTTCTGGTGAAATAAGTGTTGGCTGCAAACACCTTGATCTCCCAGCCCTAACTCTCTCACACGACTTGCCATCAAAAGTCAAAGGAAGTTCCATTGACATCCACCATTGACTTTGAGATTCTTCCCAAGAATCCACTCCAAGCACCAGAGGCCTCTCCCAGAGACCAGTTCCAAATGCATTCTGAGCAATGCTAACAACTTTGGAGTCAGAGCCTCCCAAAGCAGTGTGTAGTTCAGCATCACTTAACAACGGGGATATGTTCTGAAAAATACATCTTTAGGTGATTTTATCATTGTGTGAATATCATAGTGTACGTACACAAATCTAGATGGTCTAGCCTACTGCACCTCTAGGCTATATGGGCTAGCCTATCGCTCCTAGGCTACAAACTAGTACAATATGTTACCGTACTGAATACTGCAGGCAGTTGTAACACAATGGTAAGTATTTGTGCATCTAAACATATCTAAACATAGAAAAGGTACAGGAACGATATGGTATTATAATCTTCGGGGACCACTATCATATATGTGGTCCAGTGACAGTTGACTGAGATATCTTCATACGGCACATGACTGTACTTAGAAGTGACAGGCCTGAGGGAGGCCAAGTTCAGGAATCAAAGGCCATCTACATCCCAGTCACATTGGCATTATAGAAGATCTCAGAATTTCAGGACTGAAAGGTACCTTCCAGGGTGTCCTACCCAGGCTCCCACCCCACCCAAGAATCCCACCTACAGCCGCCAACAAGGGCTCAGTTGACCGGAAGCTCCATGACCACAGGGTTTGGTCTCTTGCTCACCAGACTGGGCCAGGGCCCGTGAACAGAAGGTCTGGAGCAGACACACAAGTCACTCTGCACCTTCCCAGATAGTTCTGTCTCCCTTTGTCACTTGTGTTTGTACACGCCCTGGCCCGAGAGGGCTCCAGGAGCTGGGGCAGCAGCAGCCGCCCCGTTCCTTCTTCCTCTGCCTTCAAAGCCAGGCGAGTTCCGACTCACACCTTCAAAGATTTGCAAAAGGAAGGTCCCAGTATAATAATCCTTTATAATAGACTCCTCCTCCTCCCTGTTTTTCCTGGTGTCTGAAGTCCATCTAATCCTTGGGCTCTAAGTGTCCGTGTTGGGGCGTGGCGGGGGGGGGGCTGTCGTGAGAAGGAGAAACACTGCGGTGGGCAGTGTCAGAGTTGTGAGTGTCCCAGCTCCTCCCAGCCTGGGGCACCTGCAGAACCTTCTAGAAACTGGGGTTCCACCCACGCTAGCCCTTCCCTCCTTAAAGTCTGATTTTGGCTGGACTGCCAGTTCCTATGCTAATTTAAGTGAAGTCAGAGATAGTGTTCACACTGTTGGTAAACAGTTTGATTAATGTCCATCTTCCCTACTGGACCATAAGCCCCTGAGGGCAGAAACCAGGTCTGCCTGGGTCAACTCCGTATCCTAGTGCCTAGTGGAAATGAATGAATGGATGAAGCTGGACCGAGCCAGGGGGTGGCCACCCAGAGGCATTGCCTTGGGAGGGGTTTTCAGAGGCAAACCCCCCTTGGCACAGGGTCTGTAGTGCTGGCCTGCAGGACCCAGCCGTCTTTCCACCCTGCCCCACCTGAGAAAGGAAATTGATAACTGTCCGCAGTCTGAGGAGTAAATATCCACAGGCGCCCGAGAGGCGGCCTCTCATGGGGAACGTTATTAATTAGCAAACACTGCAGAGGCCGAGGTGGGGCTCGGGGATGGGTAAAGAAGCCGGGAGGCTGCTGCAGCCCCCGCCACTCTCCGGAGCTCACAGGCAGATAAGCAGACCAGACGCGATGTCGCTTGGGCGCAGACTGTGCCACTCAAGTAGAGCCTGGGTGGGGCTTACCGTGGGACAGGGCCAGCTCGTGGGAGGTCAGCGCTGGAGGCTGGGCGGGGGTTCTGGAAGAGGCAGCACATGCAGAGGAATATGGATGGGGTGAGAGTGGGACATCAGGGAGGGGGCATTCCACACAGCGCAGAAGAAGCGGGAAAGGGAACGTGGCAAACAGGAAGCCGTTCCACGGGCCCCACGTGGGAGGAGACCGTGGGGTGAGTCTGCAAAGATGGCGTGGGAATGAGGGATGAGGGAGTTTAGATTTTTAATCCGGAAAAGCTTCAGACCAGAGAACAAGAACTTTAATCCCCTCATTAAAATTGCGATAGGCTAAAATTTATTAACATAGGAGCTCCCTCGCCCCGCCCCACCCCCTGTTCACGAGGGGCCGGGACCGCGGGTTCAGTTTCTCACCTGCCCTTGCCCTCCAGGGAGGGGACTATGTCTGCCCAGCTCGTTTTGCAGGACTTTTAGGATATGAAGAATATCCAGAAAGGAGTGAAGCCATGAATGGGAGAGGAAAGCAGGTTTAAACAAGCGTTATGGTAGATTCTGTGTCCTCTTCGTGGCATTTGAAAGACATGAATAGAGAACATGAGCTATTTTTAAGTGTTTGTAGGTTGCCGGGCTGTGTTTATTTGACAAAGCACCATTCTGAGAAGGGACCACGTGGTTACAGCTTTAACAGGGCTCCATGCTCTGCCTGTGCTCACCACCGTCCTCCCCCTCAAGACCGCGGCTCTTCCAGTCCAGCGTTGTCACCCCACGTCCTGGGCACGGCCTGGCCCAGAGGAGGGTTAGTAAGTGTTGACACCGAAGAGCAGAGTGACCTGGGGCTGAGACAACTGACTGTCCCCTCATCTCTCGTCCTCCAGGAAGCGTGTTCTGTGCCCCGCTAATCTGAGGCTTTGCTCATTGTCTGTCTGTCTGTCTGTCATTGTAGAAGGCAGATCTGGCCGTGGCGCCCCTCACCATCACCCACGTCCGTGAGAAGGCCATTGACTTCTCCAAGCCCTTCATGACGCTCGGGGTGAGCATCCTGTACCGCAAGCCCAACGGCACCAACCCCAGCGTCTTCTCCTTCCTCAACCCTCTGTCCCCAGACATCTGGATGTATGTGCTCCTCGCCTACCTGGGTGTCAGCTGCGTCCTCTTTGTCATCGCCAGGTAAGGCAATCCCTCGGCCGGAGCTCCGGCCCAAGGTTGAAGCCTTAGGGAGCCAGGCCAGCCGGCACGTCCCCAGCCCCTGGAGCAGGAGGCCCAAGGCTCAGGCCACCTCTGTGCCTGCTCCTTCCCCGCTGCTTGTGGCTCGGATCCCTTTGGATCCCTCGGGGACATTCCATGGCCCCCCAGTCTTGAGTCACTCAGTCCTCACCCTGGGCTGTGTCCACGACTCTGAGATGCAGCAGTTGCAGGATTGGAGAGGCTGAGTCACCGCCCAAAGCTGCACCCCTTGGACCAGGCGCCTGGCACAGCACACACAGTGCATTGGGTGGCCTGAGGGGTGGCTTAGAGCTTGGGAAACGGGCTGTGTCTATCTAATCCACAGCAGCAGAGGGAACAGTGCCCCATAAACTCATGCACACACCCACACGTAGAAACACGGCACACATACACACCTACCTGTCTGGGATACATGCTCGCAACATGCTTGCACATTTGGTTGTTCACATGAAGTGGATGGACATAGTGCTCCCTTGCTGGTGGGTGGTGGGAGGAGGTCACTACCAGACCGGTTTAGCTCAATGTTTAGTGAGCGCCTAGTGTTTGCCAAGCGCTATGCTCTGCACTTCACAGCCGTTGTCTTAGGTAGTTCTCACAGCCTCCCTGGAATAGGAGACACCTGAGGCCTGCATTGCCAAGGCCATGCAAGCAATAGGGGACGCCTGTGGCATTTGAGCTTGGGTCCCCACACCCCTCTGTCCAGGGGTCCTCCCTGCCCACATCGGTGGCTGCTGGACCCAGCACCCCACCCCCTTCCCCGCTGAGCCCTCTGCCCACTCCCGCCAGGCCCAGCCCACGCCCCTCATCTGCTTTTTTTCCTCTAAATCCTAACACAGTGCGAAGAGACTTCTCTGGAGAGGCAATTTGAGATCCAAGGACTTGGTGTTTCTGCCTTTTTTCTCCTGAGCCTCCTTTGAAAGCCTTCCCCCCACTCTGCTCCCTCCCACTCTCTCCTCCCACTCAGAGAGAGACCAAAGGGGAGGCTGCCAGAGGCAAGATCATCCGGCCCCCAAGCCCTGTGCTGCTCGCCTGGCCCTGCTGTGGCTACCCTGCCTGGTGGCCAGGTGGCAGGTGGCAGCTGAGAGAGGCTGCTGCAGAGAGGCCTTCATTACACCCCTCGTCTTAATGGCCTAACAAGCCTTTGAAAGCCAGGAGCCCCTCTGCGAGCTCACACCTTTGACTTTGGTGGCTCCGGCAGCCTCTCAGCTCTCACCCCCTCTGAGGCTCGGGCTGTTCCAGTGCCAGCTCTGCCCATGGGATACGTGTCCCATCCCCTCCGAGTCCTGCCCTTTCTCCAGTAGCTGCCAGCCCAGCCTGCCTCCCTCCCTTGCTCCTGCTAGGGAAGCAGCAGTCCCCTTCCCAAGCTTAGGAAGACTTCTAGGAAGAGATGTGATGATTTCTGGAGCTGCTGGAATGATAGGAGATATCTGAGAAGAGAAGAGACAGAAAAGGGTTTTGGCCACAGAGCCTGGGAGTCATAGTACAGCCTGCCGGTTATAGTACAGTTGTCACCTTGTGCAGCATGTGCATGACACAACTCACACTCATCTTGTCAAATCGTTATGACAGTCCTGTGAGGTGGGCATAATTATCCCCACTTTACAGAAGCAGAAACTGAGGCTCAAGGAGGTTAAGTCATTGCCCAGAGTCAGAAAGCTTTTCTTCTGCAGAGCTGAGAGCTTCAAACCCCGACCTGCCCAACTTTGGAACAAGGGTGGCCAACACAGGTGTCTGCTGGGGCCAGACAGGTAGCCTGAGGGCGTGAAGCGGGCCTGGTGACAGGCGGCAGGGAGTGATGGGGACTGCAGCAAACTGGAAAGCTCATACCTGGCTAAAGGGAGCAGCTGCCACTCAGCCCCAACAGATTGTACGAGGCAGAGATTCAGGGCCAGTGTTGAAGAAGTCATGACTTTTAGAGGGAAATTCAGATATTTATGTGACATCTCATGGTTTTTCTTTGTGGCCACTAATTTGATTTTTTACAACACTGTCGGGGCCAAGCACAACACGTCTGGAGGGTGAAGGCAGGTGTCTTCCCACCAGCCTCCCAGTGACCTGTGCCCCTTGGACCACTCCATGCTGGCTGCTGGAGATCTGGACACAGCTGCCCACTGCCCCAAGAGAAAGGGTCTGTGAAGGTCCCCAGGTCCCCAGGCCCACTGCGGGGCAGCTCCAGCTTGGCACAGGGCTGTCCATCTTGCAGCCTGGCCTGGCCTGTGCTTGCCCTGTACAGGGTCCAAGCATTGTGCAAGGACTTCCCTCTCCATTGAGATATTCCGCTTCCTGCCTGGTGAAGTGGGAAGAAGCGGGGGGGGGGGGGATTGCTCTGTGCAGAGAGCAGGGCAGTGGGCACTCGGGGCAGGGAGATAGTCCTAAGCACCCGACCCAGGAGGCAGGGCTGAGGGCGAGCTGCCCCTCCAGCCCCTGGGAGCCACATTTCAGCCAGACCTGGCACAGATAAGCATCCCAGGGAAGAGAGGACTACAACCACAGCGAGTGCCCTGTCTACACCTCCGTGGTTGGAGCCAGAGTGTAGCCTTCTCCGTGAAGACACAGATTTTGTCTCCAGGTCGAATTCTTCTAACTCCCATTTACTCTCAAGACTGGAGGAGCCCTTGCAGCCACAGGCTGTAAACCCAAGATCCACAAATATAATAACTTCAGGTGGCACTTTCCTCCCTTGTCCAGTGGCCCTCTCACTCCTCTTCTCTCCAGTGGCCTGGGGTTAGTAAGAGTCTGTACCCTCCATCCCACTGACCTACCTGTCTGTGAAATGGGCACCCACCGTGCGTTTGCCTCTCAGGAGGTGGTGAGGACCCCAGCCTATAATGGCACTTGGTGACCAAGAGGCCCATGACAGGCAATCCCACCACTGGGAATTCATCCCCCTGGGACGACACTGTTAAGCCACCCCTAGAGTTCCCCCAAGTCCAGAAGCCTTTGCAGCAAAGCCCCAGGGCACCCTTTGGCGTTGGTGCCCACAGAGGAGGGTCCAAGGATGTTTCCTCCAGCAGAGAGAGAACACAACAGTGGAAAACGGGACAGCTTAAGTGCCATCATAGAGGAATGGTTAAAAACACCTGCGAAGTGGTTATAGATGATCAGCTGGATCCTTAAAAGAGGTTGACATTAAGGGAAATATGAAGTTCTAGGACAGTGTAATGCATGATGTGGTATTTTTGTATTAAAAGAGCATATACAGATACACTGTGTGTGTAACTGGTACATTGGTAACTGTACACAACTGGTACATTAAAAGAGCAGGACTCATGAGATGTCATCAAACATCATCGTTATTTTCCCTCCCACCCCACCTTCCGGGGTGTCCAGAGGTGGGAGCTCTCCCCACGGCCCCCTCAGCAGCCCACTGCGTACTCAGCCCCTGGTGTTCCGGCAGCCCGCGTCCCTGCAGCCTCTCCCTGTCGGAGTCGAATTGCCCTTCTAGGGCGGCAGTGAAGGTGGGCTGGGCTGGATCTCTCTTCTGCGTGTGCCCGTCTGGTCCAGGGGAATAGCAGGGACCCTGCGTCCTCAGACCTGCTGGGCTCCAGGCCAGGCCGATGCCGTGCAGCAGGGACCCTTCCGCCTCCAACGCGGAGCGCGCAGCAGCCCGCCCACCCCTCGCCCTCGGTCTCCCCGCGTGCACCTGTCAGCTCTAGGCCTGCACCCCGAGCCCCCAGCCCCTGTGGAGCCCCTCTCTCCATCTGGCGGGGGCAGGGAGGGTGCGCCAAAGGCTTTCTCAGAAATCCCTTCTCACAACAGCCTCTCATCCCTGCTCTCTTGATCCCACATCTCTTCCTTGTGGATTTTAGAGCCTCTAACCAGTTCGTGGCCATTTCCTTTGAAAATCCTCCTCTTGGTTTGAAGCCTTACTTTGGAATTTCCTATCCGAGGGATCTTCCCGCTTCATGAAAACAAAATTCTTCCCACCCACCGTGAGCACTGGTGGTCAGTATAATGTCTTAAAGCCCTGAGGAAGGAGACGGAAAAGGACAGTCGTCACCACATCGCACTTAAAGGCATCACACTTTAAAAAACAAAACAAAATTCCACTGGACTTGTCCCTCCTTCCCGGTCTCTCCTCGTCTCACCATCCCAGGACACCCACACCCCCACCCACCTCCCAGCCAGGGACTTTCTCCGGGGCCCTCCACCTGGAGCCCACACGGGGAACAAAGATTCCCTTCAGTAATCAGGGCTCCTCTTCCTTAGAAGGCAGTAGGGGCTTTTACATAACAATTTTTTTCCTGTCATATATGCATTTGTACATTCAAAGACAAACATCTGAAAAATTACATACCACATTGTTCTCTTCGGGGGTGGGATGATGGAGTACTTTCACTTTCAAACTGTATTCTGTACTGCTTGAATATTTTATAAAGAGTGTTTCCTGCTTTTTTTCTGTTTTAAGGAAATTATACAAAAAATTTAAAAAGCATGTTCTCATTTTTAAAAATTCACATAATACATATGAAGCAACAAGCCTTCCCGGACTTCCTTCTGCTATTCGAACTCCCTTCCCGTGAGGTAAACACTGATATTTTTCATATGTGGAGCCTTCCAGACCCTTTGGTATGCATTTGCATACGAATAAACATAAAGAGCTATATAGTTATGTCTTCAAGAATCTATTTATATAAATGTGGTCATATTGTTCTTATGTTTTATTGCTTGCTCTAACCAAACAATGTGTGTTGAAGGTCTTTCCCTACTGGTATTTCTAGAAGTATCTCGTTCTCTCTTGACAGCCACATAATATTTCAAAATACAGTTGCGGCGTGGTTTATTTAATCACCCCTCTATTGAAGGACATTTAGGTTGTTTCCAGTTTTCTGCTATTACAAACAATGCTTTGATAAACACCCGCGCGCGGCTCTTCATGCTCATGTACAAATGTTTCTTCCAGCGTGGATAATGAGTTGCAGAATTGCTAGGTTGAAGGGCACGTGCACTTTTAATTTTAAGAGATGCTGCTGAATTACTTTTATAACCAGAAACAGGCACTAACAATAAAGAACAAGAAGAAAAATGGCCCTGATTCCCATTCCCTGCCTCCCCGCAGAACGATAAGGCTATCGGTGCTCAAGTGGCTGGCACAGCGGCGCTTGCTAAACCTCCGCCAGCCACAGCCCGGACGCGCCTTCCCGAGGGTGTCCCGGCAGCTCAGCCTCACTGCCCCTCTCTTCCTGCGGCAGGTTCAGCCCCTACGAGTGGTACGACGCTCACCCCTGCAACCCCGGCTCCGAGGTGGTAGAAAATAACTTCACTCTGCTGAACAGCTTCTGGTTCGGAATGGGGTCCCTGATGCAGCAAGGTATGTGCCCTCTCTCGGGGCCTCTCTTCTGGGGTCTTCTCTCCCCAAGGGCCCCTCAGCGTCTGGGGAGTGAGCAGCCCCAGCCCACTCTCCGAGGGCAGCCTCAGAGCCTGCGAGGCCGTCAGAAGTTGGAGACACCTGGGGTAACCGGATGCCCTGGATCTCCTCCCTCCACCACTGCTCTGGCTGGAGCCAGCTCAGGGGCTGAGCCCGAGGCAGATAAGCCACCCCCTGGCATGCAGGCCGCATGCCCAGCACCTCCTGCTCCAGCTGCGGTGGACGTGGACCATCCTGCTGGCTGGGGCCAACCCCGCCGATGGCCTCACCACCGTAGAGTCCGGCTGAGCAAAGCTGGGCTGTGGCTGGGAGGCTGGGTGGAGGCCAGGAATGAGATGATGAGATCTGATCAGGGTAGTGGCCTTGGGAGTGGAGGACAGAGGGACTAAGAGAACTTCAGGAGGTAGCATAGACAGGACTCGGAGACCGCGTGGCCGTGGGTTGCCTGGAGTAGGAGGGGCCATGGCTGAGGCAGGGACTTCCGCGTGGGTGCATCGGAAGTGAGGGACACGGAAGGACACGATTCTCTTGAGTCCTCCGGAGGGAAGGCCAGTGTGCTGCCCCTGGCCCTGCGCTGGTGGCCCACCCATTGGAAATACCTGCAGCTACTCAAGCATAGCAGAAAGCAGAGCGCCTGCTCTCACTGCAAGGCGTGAGAAGCAGAGACTCCAGGGAACTGGAGGGCAGGACTGGAAAGGGGACGACCATCCAGGAAAAGACCCAGGGAGGACACCACCCCAGCCCTGCCGGCCAGGAGCCACGTGCTCATTGCCTCTGCCCATGGAGACCCACATCCAGGGCCCCTTATCTCGGGGAATGAGGACAACCAAAGTCTCTGCCTGCAGGGCAGGGGAGGGAAGGGGCTTCAAGGGACAAAGAAAATGTCCTTGTCCTTCACTCATCTGTGTGTAACCCCAAGGCCCCGTAGACATCCATCAGCAAAGGCCGAATGAATGAATGAATGAGTGAGTGGGGTCATCCCAATGTGTCCTGAGTGCCACTCCATGCCAAGCCCTGTGCTGGGCACTTGAGTGACAGAGGAAAGGAGAAAGCGAACCTGCCCCACACAGGAGAGACCACTCTGCCATGGCAGACAAGGGCAGGAGCTCGGGCCTGGGCCAGGATCCAGCCACTCTTGTTTGCGGAGCAGCCTGAACCCCAGCTTGGCACAAACTGGGGAGTCTGGGGGCGGCTGGTTGGTGGGGGAGGGGGGATGCTGAGCAGCATTGGTGGTCTCCAGCAGCTCGGAAGTGACTGGCAGCTTTTAAGGGAAGTGCCGCAATCTGTCCCCGCTATTAATGAGTGTCCTGAAGCCTCACCTTGCTGTTTTGTCCATCATCTTTGTTCAGTGACAGTTGGGAAAGACCTGGAAGCCCCTCAATGCAGTAATAGCTTCTCCTCTTCCACCTCCTGCTGCTATTCAAAGCACTGGCCCCTGATGCATTCTCCGTGTGGTTTTGATTAGGAGGGAGAAAAATAGTTATGTATTTGAAAAACTCTCCCTTGAGTGATTTCTTTGAGGAGAAAAAAAAACATCCATATCAAAGCAGATGCTTTTCAAATTGCAGGTCCAAATATTCTGGAAAGTTCAGCAGTCACTTGCTATTTAAATCTCTTGAAAGCCACCTAGTTAATTACTTCAGTTAGAAGGTTTCATCTAAATTGTGCTCCACACCCAAGGTCGGGGAGGAAGAGTGATAATATTTCAGCAAAGAGCTTCGAAAAATGTTGATTTTTCTCCTCTCACAAAGCACTGCATAGCAATCTTGAATTTGTATACCACTTGTATTGCCAACGCAGTCTCTCCTCAAATTATATCATTGCGGCACCACGATATTTATGGGAGGCTGGGACAGAGGAAGGACAATTCTCCACTCTTTGCAGAGTCCCAGAGAGGGAAGTGTCTGGCATAAGACCACGCGGAGAGTTGGGAGCAGGATTCGCTCGAGAACCCAGGGGCTGCCACAGCCAGGTGTTCTTAGCCCAGGCCCACACAAGTGCTCCGTGATTAGGCAGCTGAGGCTCTGACGAGCTGGTGCAATGTCGTGAATGTGTATGTTGTTCTAGCGCAGTGGCTCGCCGTCTTCAGGCTGCATCAGAGTCACCTGGAAGGCTTACTCGAAGCACAGATTGCTCGGCCCCGCCCTCCAACGTCACTGACTCAGTAGGTTCTGGGGTGGGGCCCAAGAACTGGCATTTCCAACAAGTTTCCGGGTGGTGCTGATGCCACTGGTCCAGGGACCACCACTGGTCCAGGGAAAGGGACTCGGCTTTCTGCAGAACGTCAGTGGAGTCCAGGACCCAGGAGGCCCGAGCGGTCCTGGTCTGGACATTGTAAGGGGACACCTATCTCCTCCCTTCGCCCAGGGTCCGAACTGATGCCCAAAGCTCTGTCCACGCGCATCATCGGCGGCATCTGGTGGTTCTTCACGCTCATCATCATCTCCTCCTACACGGCCAACCTGGCTGCCTTTCTGACCGTGGAGCGCATGGAGTCGCCCATCGACTCTGCCGACGACCTGGCCAAGCAAACCAAAATCGAGTACGGGGCTGTCAAGGACGGCGCCACCATGACCTTCTTCAAGGTGAGGCCCTCTCCCTCCCACGGAAGCACCGTGGTCTGACCCTCCCCGAGCCCTTTACTGAGCAGAAGAGGGAAAGGCGTCTTTGTCCTTCCTTAACCACACGGAGCCGATGGGCCAGAAACCCCCAGGGCCCAGCCCCTCTCTGTCTGGCCCAGCTGACTTTGGGGGTTGTGGCGATGTTGGCCACATGGGTTGGTCTCAGCACAAATGCTAGAAGTTTCTGTGCTGAGACCCTTGGAATGCTGGCGTCTTCAGCTAAAGTCCCTGTCACCTACTAGAGCAGGTGCTCTAATGGGTGGGTATCTGCTGTGACTTTGTTGCCCCTCCTGCTTGGGAAAGTGCTGGCTCAGTTCCCCAGTGTTTTTTCACCTTCTACCAGAGTGGCTGGGGGTTTAGGAGACTCTTAGGCTGACACTGGGAACCAATAGCTGTAAATGTTCTTTCAGAAATTAAAGTAATAAGAGTAATTACCACCACTGAGAGCTCACAGTGGGCCAGGCACTGTGCTAAATGCTCGGCCTCATTTAACCTTCATGACAAATCCGGTGAGGCTGGTGCTAGAATCGTTTCCATTTTACACGTGTGGAAACAGGCTCAGAGCAGTTAAGTGGCTTGTCCAAGGACTCACACCCAGAGGAACCAGGTGCTTGCCCAGGTCTGCTTTCCCCCAAAGCCCGTGCTTTAGGCCAGTGTTTCCCAGACTTGGGTGCATTCAAATCCACTGGAGGACTTCTTAAAACACAGCTTGTGGGCCCCACCCTCAGGGGTTCGGATTCATAGGTCTGCAGTGGCCCAAGAATGTGCACGTCCAAAAAGTCCCCTGGAGATGCTGATGCCGCAGGGCTGGGCCCGCACTTTGAGAACCACTGCTCCAGTTATTTCTCAGAAATGCTCAGGACTTGGGAACTCTGTGGCTACAGATCTATTCTTTCATTTATTTTTAATTAATCAGCTGCTGTCAATCAGCCTGGATGCCTGGGCTAGTTCCCTTCCTCTGGGCCCTGGTCCTCACCCCCAGCCCTTGTCTCCGCCCAGGCCAAGCCTCTGAGTGCTAGATGGAGCCTCCGGAGGGGCCCGAGTGAAGGGAGAAGGAAGAGGTTGGGTGGGAAATCCTCCTGCCTCCTGAGCACTGGAGCCCCCAGCGCTCTCCCCCTGCCCCCGCCCAGCCTCCCTCGTGTCCCTCCTTGAGGTTGGAAGCAGCTACTTAGTGAAGAGAAAGGAGAGAGGAAAGCAGCGTCCCTCCTGGACGTTGCTGCTACCACGGAAGCTGCAAACGCAACCTGCCTAAGAGGCCACTCCTGTGTATTTAGAGTGAGGGGGATGCGAGTATTGTCAAGGCATGTTAGGAGCACGACGGGACTCTGCTTCTGTTCATGAGTGTGAGCAAGCATGGGAGGATGTGTATATGTGTGTGGCTGCATGTATGCATGTCGCAGAACATAATATGTGGAAATGTGCATTGTGTGCACGTGCACATGCACACACGTGAGTCTGCTTGTGTGGGTGTGTGTATTTGTGCTTGGACATGAGTGTTTGGCGTATATATGATGCAGCTCTGTGATCTGGTCGTGTAGATATGTTCCTGTGAATGTAGACAAGTGTGTGCCAGAGAATCTACATGTATATGTGTGCAGACAATATATGCACTTCTGTCTGCTTGAAGGTCCCCTTGGGTGTGCCTAGATAAGTAGGGAGGATGGGCCTGTGTGTGTGTTTGTGCGTGTGTAATGGCCCGTGTGTGTTTGTATGTGTGTAATAACCCATGCATACATGTGTGTCTTTGTGTGTGTGTACTAGCCCCTGTGTGATGGCCCATGCACACATGTGTATCTGCATGTATGTGTGTATACTAGCTTCTGCGTGATGGTCCATGCATACATGTGTGTCTGCATGTGTGTGTATACAAGCCTTTGTGTGAGTGTGCAATGGCCCATGTGTGCATGTGTGTGTGTGTGTGTGTGTGTGCGTGCACGCCTGCCTGCTTGTGCCTATCCCCAGGCTGCAGCCCAGCCCTTTGACTGTGCCAGAGCATCTCTCATGCATAACCCATGAGCCCGTCTCTAAGCAGGGCTCCCGATCAAAGGGAAACAGCATAAATAAGCCCGGTGCAGGCTCATTGCCGCTGATTGGATGCCCTTGCCTCCCTCCATGCTAAGATGCTCAGATTGGCTTCCAAGAGCCTAGTCCCAGCTCCCCACCGAGCCGCCGTCCTCAGCATCAAGCAGCACCTCCCGCAGCCTCCTCTGCCCTCACCCACCTTCCCTGCAAACGGCACAGCAAGGAGGGCAGAGAAGGGACACAGATGCCGCCACCCAGCTGGGATGCTGGGGCGCACAGGCCCAGGCTCACAAGGGCCTGCGGGCCAGAAAGAGCAACTCCACGGCCCCCTGCAGAGCCAACCCCACTCTCTCACTCTCCTGATGGTCAATCCATTGCTCTTTATGTCTGGCCACAGCGTCTCCTGCCTTCGTTCAAATGACGCTCATCCTGCCCAGGCTGCCTTTCATGGGGAGTGGCAGTGGGGCTGCTGCAGAGGCAGAGAGGAGCCTGGGTGTGGACCCACTAACCCCAGCCAAACAATGAGCTGGAAGCAGGGCAGCCACCCCAGAGGTCCCTGGACAAACTAAATTCCTCCCCTGCCTCTCCTCTTCCGCCCCCTGCCCTCTGTAGCTGGATTTCCTAGTCATACCTGCACACCTGGGCCAGGGGGTAGCCTCCTTATTGTCACAGAGCATTTGAAAGTTACAGCTGGGAGGAGACCTAAGTGTAACCTGGAGAAATGGAGGCCCACAGGAGCTGGGTGGTTTGCCCACAGTCACGCAGCAGATCAATGGTGGAGCCAGGTACAAGGTCAATCTTCTGCCTACACACACAGTGCCCTCTCCCACGTCCACTCTAGAGCCTTCTCCTGGAGGGGTGGTCCTCTTCCCTGCCCACAGCACGGCTGGCACTAGGGTTGAGCAGAAGGCAGCTCCAGAAGTAGCCATCAGATGTCTAGGGGACATTGGCAAAGTCAACAATAACAGTGACGCTTATTGGGCATTTACTATGTGCCAGGCGCGGTTCCAAGCCCTTGACCTATATGAACTCATATTATTCTCGTTATATCCCAAGAAGGTAGATTATTATTGGCATCTCTATTTTTTGCAAGATGAAAGTAAGGCTCAGAGAGGCAGACGTACCTAACGGCACACAGCTAGTGGAATGTAGAGCTGGGATTTGAATCCAAGACGTCTCACGTCTAGTGCCTGTGCTCTAGGTCACTGTGTCCATACTGCATCCCTAAGGGCCCAGCCAGACCTCAGGAACCCACTGGGGAAGAGGGAAGCCACAGTCAGCTGATCATATGCCCATCCCAGCTCAGTCCTAGCACATCATAGTCGCTCAAATAACACATGCTGAGAGGTCACTGTTGTTGAATGAAAGGATGGCCTTAAAGACAGCAGGCGCCAAGTGGCACAAATGCAGGAGACAGTGTTGAGGACAGAAACCGAGCAGGTATCACTCCTTGAAGGTCTCAGAGTGCAGATGGGTGAAGCTCATTTCCGTGGTTCGCATGTTCCTGGTTAGGCTGCACACAGTGTTTAAAAGCCCCCTGGCCAAGAGTCAAATGCGAGGGAGTGAATCAGCTTCTGTCCAAACACAACAGCAGGAAGCAGGACGTCGGGCTCTCCAGGGGCTCTCAATCCCTGGCCCCCACCCTGCAGCCCGGGAGATGCGTGGCTGGAGGCAGCCCCATCATTCCAAAGGAAATTTCATTTGAAGAGTTGTCAGGGAGCAGCAGACATCACAAACAGCGTCTCCTGTGTTGTCCTCCCTCCGTCTTGGAAGATAAAAATTAATTAGGAGATGAAAAAGGAGGCCTTTGAAAGCACTGTTTGGCTGTAAAAATATGTAGGCAAAATGTAAAGGAGAACGTTGGGGAAGCGTGTTCTTTACGGGGAGGGCTGGGTAGCTTTGAAAGGAGAGGATGTTGGAAGACAGCTTCTCCAGGCACTTAGCCTTATGCAGTGTTTGGGGGAGGGGACACAGCACAGGCAGGAGGGATAGTGGCTTAGGAAAGGGGTGGGAGCTGGGGGCTGAGAATTCCAGGCTCCCGGGGTCCCTGGGCATTCTCAAGCCCGCCCCCTTGCACAACCCCATCCTAGCATCTCATCGGGAAGGTGCTTGGAGAGGCCGCCCGGCCCACCCCCTGCCTCCCAGCTGCACAGCAGACTCATCCCTGAGCTGGAGGGCTCAGAATGACGCTCCCCAAACTCAGCTGCCAGTTTCTCCTGACCCGTCTCCTGACCCGTCTGCTGGCCTCTCGCATACAGCCTCATGCCCGCCTGCAAGCAGGAGCAGGGGAGGAGCAGGGTGCAGCGAGCAGGCAGAATGCAGTGCGGCACGGCCTGGCACCGTCACGTTCCATCAGCTTTAACGTCAGACCAGGATTTGAGTCTTGGGTGATGTCTCTGCTGCTGGTGTCCTTGGGCAAGTCACTGCACTTCTCTGAGCCTCAATTTTGCTCACGTGGATGAGGTGGATACTGATTCCCGCCACGCAGCCATTGGCGAGAGGATTCCGTGAGCTCCTAGACGTGCAGTGGTTAGCCCAGGACCAGCACATCAGAGCACTGAGGGCAAAGGCTTTCTCCCCGCACACCCCTCCCATTGGCTGACCCAGAAGACAGGGAACCAGGCTGCGCCCTATCCCCTCTTGGCAGATGGCTTAACCAGAGCATGTTGGAGAGGACCAGCCAGTGGGCACCTAAAGGTGCTCCCTTCTTCCAGGTCCCTCTGGACGGGGCCTGCTGAGCTTCATGAAGGACACTGGGGCCTCCTCTTACCAAGTGGCTGGCTGCCTCTGCCCTGAGGTCCTTGGAGTGAGAGAGACCCAGAGAGACCAGGCAGTGTAGCAGGGATGGGGCAGGCGAGGACCAGTGATGATGGGAAAGTTGCTGAAAACCACCAAGCTACTGAAGGCCCCTCTGTGCCTCAGTTGTTTCATCTATGAAATGG